TCCAATCCAAGCAGAACTGTGAGCTCAGAACTAGTTGTTCTGTTGTCCTTGCTTTGAGATAAACAAGGGTCCTGCAGCTGAAGCCGGAGTGGCACGTTGCTGGCTCTGCGTAGGCACATGTGGTTCTGTTGAAAGGACCGTGGTGCTGTCTACCAACTCTGGTGGTGACAGGACTGATGGCCAGGCAGGGAGCAATGTACACATCTGGGCCTGTGGGGAGTGTACATGCCATCCCCCTCAGGAGCTCTGAGGGGGAGATACACTAGCACAAACTACTAGGTGGAGCACTCGAAGGCAGCTTGTGCTGGGAATGCCACTGTGCTCCATGGTTGGGGCCCACTCAGGCTGCGTGGAGCTTCAGGGCCCTGTGCATGTGGGAGTCTTGCATGCACACTGCGTGGTAGGGTGCAGTGTGTAGCTGAGTCTCCAGGTGCACTGAGAACTGAACAACCTTTTGTGTAGTTCATGTGCTGGCATGAATAGATTAATCCTGAGCATTGATCACCTTTGTAGGAGGACATTGTGACCCTAGAAGGTCAGCGAGCACAGGATTACAATTGATTGGATAGCATTTGTATGATAACAAACAAATGGCTACCTTTTGTATACCTGATTGGATATCGTTTGTATGAGAACAGTTGAGTGGACAGCATGTGAATGAGAACACTTGGTCGAATATACAAAACAAAAGGAGTTCCAGACAAAAGTATAGAAACTGTTGATGGGTTTTGTCGATAAGCTCAATACTTCCTCTCTTATCCCATATGACCCTCAGTGTATAAAGTCTGATGCCACTAACAAACTTTGGCTTTTGACCATCAGTCAGAGTCCACTCGTGTTATTATCGGCTCCGGCTCCGTGCACCAAGTCCATCACTGTGGGACAATGACAACTTTGAAAGAGAAAAGGTGAGGTAGTGATTCCATCAGCAATTGTGATCATGGCCTCCCCCAGGATGATGAAAGAGGAGGTCTACCACACCCAACCTGGGGGTCACACGGGACTCTGAGCGTAGAGTGCTTTGCCCACACCTCCAGATATCCACTGAAGGAAATGACACTTGAGTAAACTATAGAGTAGTGGTTTAAAGATGAAAGCCATCAGAGAAGCAAAAGCTCAAGTGCTTCCTGAAAGTCCTAAAATTAAATGAGAAATACAAGAAACAAGAACAATGGGGACAATACGACTCCCCCAGAGGAACACAGCAACACATTAATATTAGAATTTGATGGTTAAGAGATTGATGAAATGTTTGAAAAGGAATTCAAAAGATGATCTCATAATGTTAAGGAAAAACAGTAAGAAGCAAAGGAGTTTAAAAAATCCATCCTTGGGCCCGGCACGGTGGTGCAAGTGGTTAAGGTCCTCACCTAGCACGCCCGGGATCCCATATGGGCACCAGTTCTAATCCCGGCAGCCCCGCTTCTCTTCCAGCTCCCTGCCTGTGGCCCGGGAAGGCAGTCAAGGACGGCCCAAAGCTTTGGGACCCTGCACCCGTGTGGGAGACCCGGAAGAGGCTCCTGGCTTCGGATCGGCATAGCATCGGCCGTTGCGCTTACTTGGGGAGTGAATCATCAGACGGAAGATCTTCCTCTCTGTCTCTCCTCTCTGTATATCCGCCTTTCCAATAAAAAATAATAAAAAATAAATCTTAAAAAAAAAAATCCATCCTTGACATGGATGAAAAAACTTTCCCACAAGATTGAAGTCTTGAAGAGAAATCAGGCTGAAATATTAGAAGTGGAGAATTCAATATGCCAAATAAAATAGCTAGTGGAAAGCCTTACTATCAGATGTGGTGAGCTAGAAGACAAGGTTGGGTTCCATGACATACTTAGGCTCAGGATGCAGATGTATTGCGAGTGGATATCTGCATAATTTGCCTGTGCTGAGTTGGTTTTGGCCAAGATCTATATGAAGCTCAGCAGTAACTTATGCGGTCATTGACGTCACACCTTTGCCATTGCTTTATAGAAGTTATTTTTGGGATTTTCAAATTACACCATGCTTTTTTTTTAAAAAAAAAAAAAAAGAAGAAAATTGTATAACCTTTTTGTAAATGCCTTTTTGTTTGACATCTGGAGAAGTTGAGAGGACCCTCATGTGAATACCACTCATGAGAACTACAGCAGGAACTTGACTTGATGCAGTTTATCTTAGGTATGGAATCTGGATCAGCATTTATGAGTCATTCCTTATATTGAGTATATAGCATCCAAATTTTAAAGAAAATGGTATGTTTGACTCATTGCTTAAAATGACTAGTTCGGGTTCTTAGTGCACTGCTTTAGAAATCTTTGCATTTGTCTAAAATTTTTTACTCTACTTCCTCTGAAAATAGGATTAATAGATTTAGCTTGGTGAAAGTATTTTTTAAAAGGGCATAAAAAGTGTATATGGTAAACAAACAAAGTAAAAACCTTGAAGTATCCTGTGCATGATTGTACGTACCCACCAGAAGCTGTCTGACACAGAGGGGCCCGTTTTTATTTTTCATTCATCAAGTACTTGCCATGGGAATGAGATCCGTGCAGGTGTCTCTACTGGAAATACTCAGAAGAGAAAAAGGCCGTTTGGGATGGTCTCTGGTAACTGTGGTTACAAGTAATTCATGTAAAGTGAGAGAAGTCACACTCTACTTTCAGTATTAGAGACTTCCTCTCAAAATGTTTCCATTCTAACCTGTAAAATGGCAATAGCATTTTCTCTTGAATAAGCAATAGCACAGGAAGTGTGAGTTACCTCTATGTGTGTAAGTATGGAGTGATGCCTTATGCATCCCAACTTTTTAGGACTACATAAAGCTGAAGCTAACAAAAATAGAAAAAAAGTGAGATGAGGCAAAGATTAAAATGTTAATATTTCCAGCATACATTTTATTGCTACTATTGTTGAAATGGGATTTTTGAGGGTTTTTTTAAAATTTACATTTTAAAAGTTTCTAAAATAGTGGACAAATGTATCATTCAAATGATGGCAGTTTATTGTGGAGAGGTGAATGATTGCTGGAGGAGGGGATAAACTGCTTCTGCTCAGTTTCCATAAAAATGCCGAAATGGGGCCCAGTGGCTAAAGTCCTCGCCTTGCATGCACTGGGATCCCATATGGGCACTGGTTCTAATCCTGGCAGCCCTGCTTCTGCTCCAGCTCCTTGCTTATTGCCTGGGAAAGCAGTCGAGGATGGCCCAAAGCCATGGGACCCTGTACCCACATGGGAGACCGGAAGAGGCTCCTGGCTTCTGGCTTTGCATTGGTGCAGCTCTGGCTGTTGTGGCTGCTTGGGGAGTGGATCATTGGTGGAACATCTTCCTCTCTGTCTCTCCTCTTATCTGTATATATGCCTTTCCAATAAAAAAAAATCTTTGTAAAAGTGACTAAATGACATTTTTATCCTAAGGCAGGGGAATGTTGTATTTCAGTGGCTTGGACAAGTTTTTGGAGTGGACTTATGCACTTTCTAAAAGCATTGCCGTAAGATGACGAAACAGCCCTGTAGAAAAACAATATGTATTTCCTTTGGGAGGATGTTCTTCCAACTCTTTACCCTGTGAAACTAATTTCAAGTCAACAACAATAGGATCAGTTGATGGCAAAGTCAAAATCTACAATTTGAGACAGAAAGCATTTGAGCGTGTTGAACTCCTAACCACTCTGCCACTATTTTTGTATGTGGAAAGGTCAAATAGGCCTAGATAGGGTATATATATACATTGTTTTATTCATGTTAACAATTATTAACATGAATAAAACAATGTGAATCTTTGTCACTAGCAAAAACAATTGCAGAAGTATGTCTACAAATCTGAGCTTGTTGCAAGCATGTAATCTTCTTTGCTTGAAGTCACAGCTCTGATTTGAGAGAAGGTCTGGTTTTTCAGTTAGAAAAAGGACTGTATCCTGTGTACTTTCCTGAGAATATAGGGGCTCCCAGAACTGGTTCAGTAAATTTTGACAGGGACCCACACTGAAACAAAACCTAAAGCAGATTGGAGATTGGAGATTGGAGATTGAAATGTTGTTTTGGGGACCTAAACTGACTATCTTTTATAAAACCGGGATGATTTTCCAATGCTTTTCTTTTGGTTTAGCTCATGGTTACAGAATTCTGGACAGAGCTAGTGCTGATGGTGACTTCTAGGTCCATATTCTTTCAATACACAGATTATAGATCAAAATTGAGTGTTTTTCCCCATCCTTAGCTGAGAGGTCACTACAAAAAAAAATCACCCCTAAATCCACTTTCGCATATGCATCTATGGCAATCTGTTAGCAGAATTCAAATGCCAAGAGTCCATCTTCAGATAATATTCAGAATTTATTAAAAGACAGATTCTGGAAACTTGGAACACATTTTATATATCACAGTCTCTGCTAATTAACAATTATATGTTTCATTCACTTCCATAACCTTTTTTTTATCCTCTTACCGTTCCCTTTTGTAGGCACTGATATGGAATGAAATAAGGACCTTAGGGGTCATGGTGGGAAGGGGGCTCATCATTCCTTGGAGACCCTGGAGATGTTTCTGAGGTAGCTCAATCAGGCACAAAATGAGAAGCGGCCATGGGAAAATATAAGTGGTGATATTAACAGTCAGTGAAATGTGTTATCAGGGTTGGGGAGAGCCCCTAGAAATGGGACCAAACATTGTAATTCTCCTAGAGATCAGAAATAACTTACAGGCAGTGTGACAAAATGTCCCGGGGGTTGGCTGCCTGCTTCAGTGACATGAAACAAGCATCTAACTCAAGCCAAGGTTCAGTCCAGCGGTCTGTCCAGCTAGTACTTCTGTTTACAGAAATGTCAACTCCAGGGCCCCAACACAGGTGTCTCAGTGGCGGAGATGGGCGCTGTGAGGTTCAGTCAGGCACAGTCATCTGGTCTTGATCTGAGGCTTCACTGTGGTTTTTGAAAATTTAAGTGTGCAGAGCATGTCAGTTTATGGCAGCACACGTCACTGAGGGGCTTCGAAAACCGCTGCCATCGGTCATGTGCTGAAGTTAGAACTTTGTTGATAAGATGTTGTCGTTACTTGGCTCCTCTGGGCGTGCCTTTCCTGGGTTCTTCATGGTAGCCGGGCTCTGTACTTCCTGATTTCGACATTTGGCCCAGTAGATGATGTACAAGCTTCTCATTAGGAAAACTCCAGCAATGACTGCAAAATAACTCCCATACACTAAAAACTGGAGAAAAAAAGTATGTATATGTATATAAATCTGGCCATCAAATATTTCTGTGATTATGCCTAGTGGTACTGTTGGCTTCCTTGAATTACAATAGACCCAAAATCTTAATATGGATCACTTAGACTAGATAGCACTTTTACTCTACTTTAAAAGAATCAAATATGAAAATACAAGCAAAACAGTGACTTGTCTTTGGAACAGTTTGCTTGTGTTCGAGTTCTAGTTCCTGTTACCAGTAGTAAATAAAAATAAAAATTGATCTGTATTTAAAGGCAACTACAGTGCTGTATGCAGTGTCCTTGGGAATGGATTTGGACTGTGGAATTAGGTGACTTTGTGCTTGCTTTACGCAGATACATTTTGACCTAGATGTCATTATTGCTGGAAACCTCTTCTTGTGCAATCATAAGACAATTAAGAAATTAGAGATTTCAAAATTTACCTCATGAAGCTAAAACCTTTAAGGAGACTCCCTAGGCATGTTGCAGCTTACCTGAATGTTGATTTCCAGGTTGAGCCCTCTCTGATCCACTACAATCACAGTCATAACGGTTTGAATCACCAAGGCAATGAAGGTGTTGATCCCAAACACCAGGGCATAGCGTTCCACACTGAGATTAACTGCAATCTGAAACCTATTGTGGAATGCCAAATAAACATAGAAGTGCTACCACACATTGGGATTGTTTAATAAAAACAAAGGAAAAAAAACACAAAGGAATCTGAAATACCACTAAAGTTTGAATTGACAGTAACATGGCAACATTCCTCACACCCAGCTTAATGTCTTACAGAAATTTATGTTTTAAGTTCTTGTGACTGAGAATATTGGGTAGTATCTGATGAAAGCTACTAATTTATGCATCGTCCAATCTGAAAATTTTCTAGAAAATTATTTCATTTAATTGTCAATTGTCTGTGTCAGAACTCAACCCAAGTCTTCCAAGGGCAGCAGGTCCATGTCCTGCTGCCTTCTCGCGTAAACTAGCAGGATTCAGTCCTGGGCACCCTGACATGGGAGTGGCATAAACATGCACCCACAATGTTTGTGCCAAGAATTTTTAAATGGAAAAAAAAATCTAATATTAAAAAAAAGAAGTTGGAAACATACATCTGATTCATTACAGTAGTTACAGAATAAACTTGTCAAGTAGTTTAACCTCTTTTCTTGTCATACGATCTTTCCCCCTGGTGTTCAGATTTGTGTTGGCAACATTTACCAGACATTTTGAGCAAAATAAGATCACAACTTTGAGTATTTTCTGTTCATTTCTTTCATGCAATTTGAAGATCAAATGTTTCCTTTTTTTTTACGCAACATCAAAGCACATTTCTACTGTCAGCTTTAGCTGCACTTTTGTTTTCAATGAAACCAAATGACTTTAGACACTTTTCTAAAACATCCAAAGACTGGGTGTAAAATTACAGGAAACTGTATATTATAGATCTTTAAATAAAATAATTGGTCTCTTGTGGTGCATTGCTGAAAATATAAAATCAAAACTTGATCATGTGGAACATATGAGTCCCAGCTGCTCCATTTCTCATCCAGCTCCCTGTTTTTTGCCTAGGGAAGCAGTGGAAGATGGCCCCAAACCTTGGGACCCTGTACCCACATGGGAGACCAGGAAGAAGCTCCTGGCTCTTGGCATAGAATCAACTCAGCTCTGGCTATTACCGTCATTTGGGGAGTGAACCAGCTGTTGAAAAAGCTTTCTCTCTGTCTTTCCTTCTCTGTAAATTTGCATTTCTCAATAAAAGTATTTTAAAAAAAGAGACCTGTAGAGACTTTTTTCTTAATCTCAGTAGTATTCAGAAATCAAATAGATCAATAACGATTTAGTTAGTGGGCCTTTATTTAATATGCAATTTGTATTTCATGTTGGAAATGGTTAAAGCCCTTCTGAAGTGCGCAAGTAGGGAAAACAGTAGAATATGGATTGTTTTTAGTAATGGAAAAAATTGCCTGATGATACTTACACTGCTATGGTTATGAGAAGCATATAGCTGGACTTGAAGATCAGGTAGCCAGCATAGCAGACCCAGATGTCCACGGTGTAACGCATGACGAACAGAGAGCCTGCGCTGACAGCCGAGAAGACCGCCAGAGCCAGCTCTCCCACAAGATCCCAGTTGACTTTGACATAACCCACAGCAAAGGCGGCTACAGCCCCTGAAAAGGAAGCAAGGAGAACATCAGACACGACTTCACACTCAAGCAGAACAGCATGCTGTCTTCAAAACTCACGGCTAGGGTAATTCTATAGGAGCAGTATTTAGGGTAATTCTATAAGAGCAGTATTGCTTTCGCGAAAATTGTGTGACCAGCTTTGATGCGAATTTATCCCTTGTCCAGTCGCGTTTTCTTCAGGCTTCCCTTTTCACTTCCTAGTCTTTCAGTCACTAGTTTCATCATCACATTTTTATCTAGTGTTAGCTGAATGACAGAAATACTACGTGGAGAGCAAGAAAGTTCCTGCATGGTGGTGTGGGGAGGATGATACTGGAATCCAGTTAAACACAACATGCAGTGTGAGAATGGCTGACACAACTGCTCTGAGCACACCTGCCTTCCCCAGTGCCTCTCTTTGTCAGCAGGCAAGCTTTCCCCAGCACTGAGTAGTCAGCTGTGCTGCTCATTGCTAATCCTTAATCCTCTTAGTCTTACTTTTAATTCCCATCTTAAGGGCTTCCAGATCTGACCTGATTTCTTGTTATCAGATAAGATTTCTGTTGACTTGTAGAGTTTAAGAGGCTCCATCATTGACAGCAATTATTTCAAATTATTGGCAGCTGATGAATTAAGACTCTCATAAGTGACATAAGTATCATGACTACAAAGAATTTGAAATCTTTTTCCCCTAAAACTTGGAAAGTGCATTCCATTCCGCAAGTGAATTTAGCTTGGTCCTGGCTTCCGGGAGCTCAGCTGAGGCCTTGGGAGAGAGAAAGTAATCAAACATGGGCCTTGAGGGTTTTCTGAAACTTTTGTGTAAGTGAGGGTGTATAAAAGTCTGACTTCCTAGGAAAAACATCTTCAAAGTCTCATTTAGGTTCCCACGTACCAGGATATAAATATTTACTGTAGGATACACTTCAAAGGAAGAGTTTCCTCGGAGATTAGCATTCAGGTATTTGAGCCAGGCCAAATTCTTCAGCAGAGATTCTTACAGTGAGAACCCGGAAACACTGAAAATATTTTCTAATGTAAGTAACAAAAACTCCTGTTTATCTATTTTTATATTAAGTGCATTCCTGAAAGAAAAAGTACAATAATGCTTGTTATAATGAAAAAAGTGGAATCTTCAGAATTCTTCGCTGTAGGTTAGCTAATTCTCCCCTGGCAATCACCAGGATTCCATATGGCTGCTGGTTCGTGTCCCAGTTGGTCCACTTTCCACCCAGCTCCCTGCTAAAGCAGGCAAGCAGCAGAGGATGACACAGAACCTCTAAACCCTGCATCCACTTGGGAGACCCAGAAGAAGCTCCCGGCTCCTGACTTCGGAATGGCTCAGCTCTAGCCATCGTGGTCATTTAGACAGTGAACCAGTGGGTGGAAGATTATTATCTCAGTCTGTTCTTCTCTCTATAAACCTGTCTTTCCAATAAAAATAAATGGATCTTTTATTTTAAGAAATGTGGAATCTTAGGGATTTGACTAGAATCATGTTGTGTGATTCATGCTGAGTCTGAGTTAGTTATGCACATTAGGTAAACGATCACCCAGAACCTTCCATTCCTGGACAAGGTTATGCTTGAGAGAGCAGTTCCCACCAGGCAGACATTTGGTATCTGCAGAAATGGACTTAAAAGCGAGCCCATCCAAAGAGGAGCAGTGACACTTACCTCCAAATGTTGCAATAGCTTCTACTGCGCCATTATAGACAGAAGAATCTTGGGAAGGTTTCTTGAAATCCCATAAGATTTGAACATAGTTCAAAACCTGGTTATAACCTGCAGTGGAAAAGGCCCACCATAAAGACCAGTAAAAAAGACGTTTTGAGGAGTAGCATTCCTTCAAGTCCTGGAACCACTGCACAAAAACCTCCAAAGCCACATTTCTGGGGCGGCTGTCCTGGCCGTCGTCCTGGTTCCCTGAAGTCACTGAGCGTGTTTCCAAAGTGAGATTCTTCTCCTTGCAGCCTGGAGTGTCATCCTTAGGAGCTTCTTTTAATATCGCGTCCGTGTGTGGTGACTCCTTTATCTCCTTGCTGGGCTTTGCATGAAAGAACATGCTTTTCTTGGGCATCGGTAGAAAAAGTGAGCAAATGAAAGCCAAGGAGACGGAGATCATGCTTATGACATTGAGGTAAAAGTACGACACGTTGCTCAGGGAGACCAACACCTGGCCCAGCACTGAGGCTATGGTGTAGGACACCAGAGTGATGCTCCTGCAGTAGCTGCTCACTCTTTGGTAGTGCTCGAGACTGACCACACTGTAGATGTAGGCATAGTAGGCGACCTCGGTGGCCGTGACCATCCCATAGAAGAACTCAACAGCCTGCATGGCCATCACGCCTCGGCCAAACAGGAGCAGCAGCCAGGTGATGATGAAGCTGATCCCTTGCAAGATGATGACCGGCTTATAGCGGACGTAATCGGTAAGGACGAACACGGGCAGCAGCAGCACCAGGTAAGAGTAGGTCCAAACTGGAAGGATCTTGTTTGTGATCTGTGAGGTTGACAAACAGTGTGACTACTGACACGTGACCAAGAAACATTTGGCTTCCTACTGCATTGCACATCTTTATGACAGAAGCATGTGACTGGAAGCTGACTTTCAAAGAAACCACTCAGACAGCCCCCCTTTCCCATCAAGAACAAACAACACAACAGCAAAAAACCCAGAAATGTAAATACTTACAGTAGAATTTTTAGATCAGTGTATATCTGAGCAATGTTAAGTTTAGGACAGTACATAAAGAAGTTGAAAAAAAAAAACTATGCAGATAGTTTGGTGGTTTTCAGGTTCTTAAAATGCCATCTCTCTCTTGTTTAAAGATTAACATTATATCAAAAGGTTACAATGTTAAGAGAGTGATAAATTTTATCTTTATTTGATCCTTCCCTTTGTCAAATATTTTGGCCCTTTCAAAGCCTGGATATACACACATCAGAAGATGGGAAAAGAGTAAATGACTTTGCAGATCAAGGAATGGCAATAAACAAGTAGACAAATAAATTTCCTAGGCTTCTGATTCTTTCCCCCCAATTCAATTGATTTGAATATTCCAATGCAAATCTGGTCTCATGTATTAATTAAAAATGCAAGAGACCTCAAAATTTAAATTTATTTTTATTGGAAAGTAAGATATACAGACAAGAGAGACAGAGAGGAAGATATTCCATCTGCTGATTCACTCCCCAAGTGATCACAATGGCTGGAGCTGAGGCAATTAGAAGCCAGCAGCCTCTTCTGGGTCTCTCACACGAGTGCAGGGTCCCAAGACTTTGGGCCGTCCTCGAATGCTTTCCCAGGCCACAAGCAGGGCGCTGGATGGGAAGCAGGGATGCCTGGATTAGAACCAGTGCGCTTATGGGATCCAGGACTTGCAAGGCAAGGACTTTTGCCACTACACTACCACACCAAGCCAGAGACCTTAAATTTTAAACATTGAAGGAAGTTGTCGATGATGTTTGGAGACATAATGCATGAGTGTAGCTTGCAAGATCACTGTACTCTTCTGTCTTAACTAACATTTGGGTCCACTAAGGTCACTGTAGAAAGAGGACCCTAAAGAAAACCAGTGCCGACTATGCTATTGCTTTGATTAAGGATGTATTAGGTGGTCCCCAAGTGGGGTAGCCAAGTTGACTCTCTTGTTGCCATTCTTAGGACACATTTCCAAATGGAAACTCTGAAACACAATTGCCTTGTGACATTACACTACAAAATGAGCTTGTCTTCTGGATCTTTCTATCTCATCACATAATCTAGTCCCAATTAGAAGTCAGGGAATACTTTAATAACGGCATGAATGACTTGTGGACTGTGCATGAAGGACATCCATTGTAAAACTAGAGGGGAAATCAATGGAGCGGGGCAATGACCTTGGGGAAGGGAACGAGCAACCCAGAACCTATGAAACTATATCATAAAGCAAAATAAAATACTTTTAAATGTTAAAAAAAGGAAGTCTCGATGAAGCCACCCACTGTGTACTGTATTTCTGTTTCAGCTACCCATTTTTAAGAGTAGTTGGAAATGTTACATGACAGATGAAAATCCAACTCATTGAATGAGAGCAGTGTGTTCATTGTACGTAAAGTTGTATGAAGCCCTGACTACGTCTATGTTCTGGTCAAATTAAACCACCCTAAGATAGATATGCTTAAAAACTTACCTCTGTGCTTGTCAGATTTTTATTTGGTTCAGATAAATAAGGGATGAGGAAGGGCTCTGAAGGTCTCATCATGGAGAAAAAGCCAAATAAACAGAGAATCACAGTGGGATAAATCCAGGAATTGCGTGGTGACATCCTGAAACAGGCCATGGCTGACCAAATGGAAGCAAAGCAAAAAATAAGTTTTTTTTTTTTTAACTTTGATATCTCAGATGTAATGAAAACATAATATTTCTAGATCTGACTGTTTCAAACATTTACAGGTTAACAAGCAAAAAGCAAATGGCAGATACACTACTCTCAAATATTCTAAATAAGACGGCCACATTCTTCTTTGTTAGTGAGTTCTTGTTGATTATTGCTAGGACACAAAAGAAGTATATCCTCAATGATAAACTAATGATCAGAACTTGATTACTTGCAATGAGACCAATAGCTACAAGCATCTCCACCAGCTGAGGTGATGACATTGGTAGAACCTGGATTGTCCCATTTTACAGATGAGCCACTGAACTGCAAGACACTTGTAGAAGAATCCAGGCCTCTCTGTCCTCTGACTGATGCAAGCAGGAGGCGAAGCACACTCAGAAACCAGGCAGCACTTGGTATCAGTGGAAGGGCTTGAGTTCCATTCTCTTTGTTGCATGAAACTCTCTTCCCCAGCTCCTGCTACAGCTTGCAATATAGGCAGCGCAAATCTGAGCGCCACTTGGAGTACTGGAGGCATTGATTGTGATCCAGCTGCCTGCTGATGTACTTGGGAAAGCAGTGAATGATGATCGTGGTATTTCATCCCTTGTCACCTATGTGGACGACCAGGATAGAGATCCTGACTCTGGGCTTTGGTCTGATCAAGTCCTGTATTTTGGAGTTAACTGAGGAATGAAGAATGGATGGAAGCTCTCTGTCTCCTCCCTCTGTCACTCTGTCTTTCAAGCATCAAATGCATCTGCTTTTAAAGTCATCCTTATAATTAAAAAAAGTCCTTAATAATTAATGCTTCCTCAGTGTTTAATGCCGAGGCACAAATGGTCCTAGACCTCCTCCTTCAGAACCCAGCTGCCAAGAGCAATGGCTTTATATACCAAAGCCTATTCCTTTCCGATGGCTTTATACATGGAAGTTTATGCCTTTCTTCGGAATCCTATCAAAAATCCCATATTTAGGTCTTTTTTATTTCTATTGGTCTTAATTTTGATTATAAAATTAGCCGACATTTCATCCGATGAAATAGAATAAGATTCCCCACTTTCAGACTTTTCTGAAATGCAAATGATTCATGAAGTTTATAAGTAAAAAAAAATTTCCCTTGAATATCATTGCTAAAGTAATCCAACCTAGTTTCTCTAGAATTTTGAACTAAGTGACTTAGATGATTAGAAAAACAATTATGCTTGTGGAGTAAATCTGCAGTGTTGAGAGAAAAAAGATGGAGGGACAGAGTAAGGACACATTTATTTAAACGGATGAAGAACCACTAGCCAGGGTGAAGCAGAGAGGGCATGATCCCAGAAAATAGGAAAGGACAGGTAGACAGCAGAGGGATACCTGGAGACCTGTGGACATGGGGAAGCAACAGAGACAGCGAAATATTTTGCAATGACCAAATACCATAGCAGCAGTCGGCAATTGGAAATTGGAGCTCCACCAGTGGACAGGTGGGAAGGGAAATTCATGGGGCACTCAGGAGGTGAACCCAGCCATAGGACTTCGCTCGTCCTACAGGAGGGGCACAGAACTCACAATAGGATTGACCAAAAGTGGTCTTTGCTGCAACACATGAAAATTAAGCTTGCTTCAAATATGCACGTGAAAAAAATCAATTAACATACAGAGGAACCCTAATCAGACTCATTTGCTGACCTCTCAGGAAAACAGACCAGAAGGGAATGGAATTACATACTCCAGAATCTAATAGGGGGAAAAAAAATCATTATCCCAGAATAACTAACCCAGAAAATTTTCATTTTGTCCTTGAAAATGAAACAAAATCTTCCACAGTATAGAAAAGCTGAAAGAGTTTACCTCTTCCAGACCTGCCTACAAGTGATACTTAAAGACGTTCTATTGACAGAGAAAAGGAATAGCACTTAACAAAACCAAACCAATACAACAGATGAGTAAATCAAACAATGAACAACCAATTGCTAAAATGACAAGACTAAATTGCTACCCATCTGTATAAACTCTGAATATGACCTAAACATATCAATCAAGCATCATAGATGAGCAGATTAGATCAAAAAGCCAAAATTCATCACTATTTGTTGCCTAGAGGAGACATATTTCACCAACAAAGATATGCAGAAACTGAAAGTAAAAGAATGGAAAAAGATGCTCCAGGACAATGGAAGAGAAAACTGAGCTGCTGTATCCATTCTTAAATCAGAAAATACTGACTTTGACGAGAATAATATTAAAAGAGTATTTCCAGTCTTTCCATTGACCTTCTCTGTTTTCGTACGACGGACCACTACTTCCTAGTATGTCTTGAAGTCTGCAATTGTGATTCTTCCAGCTTTATTTTTATCATCTTATTAGTTTCTTAGGATTTTTTTTTCCATTTCTGATTTTTCTTGATTTTTTCCATCTTGCTTTTCTTTGCTATTCTGGCTAAAAGTCTCTTTTGCTCATCTTAAAAAAAAAATGGCTCTTTCTTATTGCAATTTGAATTTTTAAATTTCAATTCCATTTATTTTTCTTGTGTTTTTAAATATAATTTCTTGCATGATTAAATCATTTGCTTGAGATGTTCCTATTTTTTTTGTCAACACCTAATGTTATAAATGGCCCTTTGAATACTGTTTTTGCTAAATCTCATGGGTTTTGATATTTTGGTTTTATTTTCATTTGTTCAAAAATTTTTTTCTTTTTTTACTAATTTCTTCAGTGACACATTGGTCATTCAGTAGCCTGTTAATTAACTTTATATAATTGTAAATGTTCTTTTTCTTTCTGTTGTTGATTCTATTTTTTTACTTTTCATTTAAGGTGATGTACAGTAACTTTGGAATGAAGACTATCATATTTAGATTTGAAGATACAATACAGTCTGAATCTCTCTCCAAATGAAAGATGGGCTCTCTATTTTGAAAATAGGATGCTGGATTCTCTGCCACTATCCATGCCTACAATTTCAGGATACACTTAAATAGCAGAATGATGCACTTACGACTATATATGCAGGATTATACTATTGTAATAATAACTTCAAAATCAATGGGCTGGAGGGGATTTGGAGAGGGGGAGGGGAACTTTATCATAAAATAATAAAATAAATTTTAAAAAGAAAGAAAAAACAAAAAGTAAAAATGATTATGTTGATTTGTTAAAAATTCTGTAAAAACAATAAATAAAAAAATAAAAATTTCCTGGGGCCCGGCGCGGTGGTCTAGCAGCTAATCAACACATCAGGATCCCATTCGGGTGCTGATTCTAACCCTGGCAGCCTCGCTTCCCATTAATGTCCCTTCTGTGGCCTGGGAAAAGAGTTGAGAATGGCCCAAAGGCTTGGGACCCTGCACCCCTGTGGGAGACCTGGGGGAAGCTCCCGGCTCCTGGCTTTGGATTGGCACAGCACTGGCCATTGCAGTCACTTGGGGTAGTGAACCAGCAGACAGAAGATCTTCCTCTCTGTCTCTCCTCCTCTCTATATATCTGATTTTGCAATAAATAATAAATATTTTTTAAAAATTTCCTGAAATGTAATATTCTCCAAAAATTTCAAAAAATTGGAAGAAGCTGAAGATATTCAAAGGACTGCAATGACCAGCTCTGCTTTTGGTCAGAATCATTGCAAGGACAGACAGAAGCAACTGTTATAGCACATGCTAGGCGTTCTGTTTCATCAGATATATACATGCTATTCCTTTTTGACTGTAGGAGATATTCACTGGTAGATTCCTCATTCCCTCCCAACTCATGTTTGGCTTCAGTATGTTTGCAATTAGGTCAATCTAACATCAGATGAAACAGGAGGAGCATGTCTAGTAAAACTATAAAACTACAGCAAACAGCTTAGAAATTGAACCTTTCATGTCTGGTCATACAGTGCTATGAAATGTCAATAAGTTGAGGCCAGCTAAGAGTTGGGAAAAAAATGTGTGTGTGCTTCAAGGAAAAGGTAGGGATTGTAGAACTGTTTTACAGCTCTGTAAATTGTACTAACTGATAACAATGTAAAATAAGTCTTATCCATACAAATGTAATGAGGTTTATCAAGTAAGGGGCACCTGATAAGATGCACCCAGTGTTGTGGCAGTTGGTTAAGTCACTGCATTCCACTCTGACATCCTCAATCAGACTGCTGAATCTAGTGCTGGCCGCAGTATTCCAATTTGGCTTCTGCCAGTTCTCCTGGGAAAGCAGTGAAAAATGGCCCTAGTTCCCCCTGAACCCTTGTAGGAGACCTGAACGGAGCTCCTGTCTCCTGGCTTTGCCTGGCCAGGCCCCAGTTGCTGCAGAATTTCTTTCTCCTCTCCAGCCTTGTTGCTCAGTCTTTCAAATAGATGCATTCAATAAATAAATATCCTTTTATGTTATCTATCCATTCCTCCTCCATTAATATTCAGTTTCAACATGCTTGATCTTTTTTCCCTTTTCAAGGCTAACAATATAAACTTTATCCATTTGAGGCATTTTCCTTTGATCTGAACGTAACAGCCTCACTGGTTTCCTCCTTACTAAGTTAAATGAGACTGCTATCGCATGTTGATTTTTCTATCTGTATGTCTTAGCTTCAGTTTTCCCTGAAAATAATCCTTTCCTGCTGGATGCCATTCATCATGTATGTAGTCTTTCCAAATCCCTCCCCACCTACTCCTCTGAATCTACATAATTTATCAATAGTTGTTAAAGACAGAATTGGCTTTAACCTTTTGACCTCCCCCCAAAACCCTAGTTTTAGGCAGATTTTTGGTTTTATCTCTGGAGGTGGGGTTTGGATCTGAGTGGTTCACAAGATGCTTGCTTTGTTTCAGAGTCTCTATCCAGCTGCATGGCTCTCTCGGATTCTTCTCTCCTGATGGCTAACAGACAATCCCTCCAAGTCACGGCTTGGAACAGGGATGGCCATATCCAGCCCACAGGATTTTCTCAGAAGGTGCTCATTGTAAAGATGTCTTCTAAAACATGCTCTACAAACCTTCTTTCTATTGCTCCTTCTGCA